AATAGGTGATTTTTAGTTACTCAGATGAAGAAGAGAGACAGCTTTCATTCCAGTAGTTACCAGTAAATATCTCCTTGTTTCTGGCCTGCAGGTAATGACAACATAAACCCAATCCTAGTCATTTGACCAGAGAGTTGAGATAGAGGAATTGCTTTGACTGTACTTGAATAACAATTTTTAAAAAAGTAAAAAGAAAAGAAATGACATTTCTGTTTCTGGAAGGGGTTGTTGGTATCTCTGTATAAGTGGATGGTGGAGAAAAGGAATGAGGCAGTTTTCTCCAAAGTCTAGGGGTTTTTGAGAGAAAAGGAATCAACATCGAGTGCATAATAAGAAAGTATCAACAGTAGATTTTTTTTAATGGCTATAATGTGACATGCATATGCACATGATGACAATATGTCACTTATAAAATCTTAAATTGGAGGAAAATAACATATGCCTGCTCTTATTTCCCAATGGGAAGGCTTATTGATATTAGTATGTTAAAATTTACTTTTAATGGTAGTTAGAACAGGATGCTATGCTAAGCTATTCCTGTGCAATCTGAGATCTAAATTTGGTTCTTCTGCATATATTAGTCATTATTCCAAGTCTCCCAGTATAACTCCCAAGTTAATAACATGGAAATGAGCAGGTGTTGCCCCAAAGAACGCAATGGCCAAAGATAATCTTGGAGCTGCAGCTTTCGACTTTTGTGGGCCTGAGTAGAAGCAGGTGGGAATGATTAACCTTCTGCCTCTTTACCTTTATGGTAAATTGGACTGTAGAAATGATGGTGGTGGTGTGGTGGTCTGTGTTGTACCTCTAGAGTTTTATTCAAGCTTCTAGGTTAATGCTGCTGAGCAGGGCATAGGCTCTTCATCTATACTAACAGAGATACTGCATTTGCATAAAATATTTAATCCTATCATTATCCTTTTACCAACTGCCAAGTATGCCCTACTGAGTACTTGAGAACATCTTTTATGAGTTTATTATCCTTATTGGATGAATAAACTTAAAAAATAAATTACCCCAATCTTCTAGGTAGTCTCTGAATATTTTAATCATGCAGCTTTAAGTGAATTTTAAACATATGTCACCCAATGTGTGCATATTTATTAACTATAAATTACATATAGTCATATCTTTAGTGGTTCAGAGGACCAGCTATGGGTCTAAACTGCCTAGCCTTGTGTTTCAGGTCTGGCATTTCCCAGCCGTCACATTGAGTAAGATATCTGATGAATCTATGTCTCTTCTTTAAAAGGATGAAAACAGTACTAGGTACCAGATATAGTTGCATATATTCAAGTTTAGATTGTTACCATTATCGTCATATTTCTGTTTTGCTGCCATATTCAGTATATTCTAAGCAAAGTGGAAGAAAAGCAATGAATTTAGAAAATGTAAATGTACTTTCTAATGTGTCATAATAGAACAATCATGGTTTATTTTTAAATAAAGATGAAGGATAAAACATATTTTATGATACCACCTATTTACCTATTTTCTTCCCACACCACTCTAGAATGTCTCATACTCACTATCTATGTTTTTTGCATCATTTGCTGGACCACAGCTGCATGTTCTTATGGGTTCCAAAACATAGAGTAAGAACCACATTATTTATTATAAAGCAGTAAGGCTATGGTAGAAAACCTCCAACAATTTCTGACCACGTTCTGCTGATGCTCCCTAAAGGCTTACTATAATGATGGCTATTAATTCCAGGATCCTAAAAATCTCAGCCATTGTAGTTTTCTACTGACCTGTCTCCAGTAAGTGAGTCACAGGAGTCTTCTGAGTTAGTTTATTGTATAGAACTCTGCACTGGCCATCACACTAGGAGAAGGGTCTCTGTTCTGAATTTCCTATTTAGAGTCTATGTGCATAGTTTCCTAACCTGGCCGTAGGTGGGACAATTTCCAGTCTAGCTTTTCAGGCAGAAGGCCATGCCAGAGAAGAGTCTGGCCAGAGGTCATGATGCTGATATCCTATGGTGCTTTTTTCCCCCTATGCTTTATCGAAAGATGAAATAATTGAGACTTTATAAGAATTCAATAGACTGTGTTGGTCCTTATGCCTTCTCAATGAAGCCAAGTATAGTGAGGAATTTTCAATGTAATTTAGTCATTATAAGTAAGATAATGGCGACACAAATAAAGTTCTAGTCTCTTATATCTTGGTGTCTAAGCTGTTTATTACTCTCAGCACTTGCATTTCAATCAATCTTCTGGGGCAGTTTAGGAAAGAGTAGAATTATTGTACATGCCCTGGGATGAAAGTAAATCATGTGACCTGCTCATACTGAGTTCTCTGTCTTGGTGATAAAATGTGTGCATGCAAAGACACACATTAGTGTATCTTAAGAGTTATACTTGATTTAAAACGAACCATGACTTTGGGCTCTATTTTCTTGGCTCCTAAGAATGGTATTCTGAGTTGAATGATAAAATCTGTTATAATTTTGTATGAGAACCTATGCTTGGAACAAGCATGCACCATCTGTGTCTCTGGTATGTTTACTATCTTTGATGATGAGAATGTGGGAGCCAATAACATTTCTTTTTATACCTGGCTGCCAGAAGTCTTGGAACAAATTTAAGGCTCAACCGAGAAAAATGGACAGAACTGTGTGGCCTGCTTCTGTTATCACTGCTTTCATCTACCTTCATATCCCATCCCCAAAACATACATTCTCCACGGGCCTCGTGTGTTTTATTTATGTTAAAGATTTTAGTACTTTTAGTGGTAAGATTGCCTCAAATCCTTTTTAGCAGAGGTAAGGAATAAATATTTTCTGTATTTTTTAAGCATTAGGAAATATTACAAAGAAGGTAGCTAAGTATTATTATCTAGAAAGGTGAGGGTAGGATTAAAATAAATTATGTCAATAAGTTTCCAGAAATACTACATCTCAAAGTAATGTTTGAATGAATTAGAATCTTGCCAATTTAGCCACTTCCCAAAATTTTGTAAAATGACCCAGTTAAATAAAATTTAACTGTCTAACTTTAGGTCTTATTTGCTTAATGGATATACAGTCCTGTTTTTTTTAAATATTTTATTTATTTATCTTTAGAGGGAAAGGGAAGGAGAGAGGGAGAGCAACATCAATGTATGGTTGCCTCTCGTAAGTCCCCTGTTGGGGACTGGCCTGCAACCCAGGCATGTGCCCTGACTGGGAATCGAACCATGATCTTTTGGTTCGCAGGCCCACATTCAATCCACTGAGCTACACCAGCCAGGGCTGGGTATACAGTCCTGTTTCTTAAAGGAAAGAAAAAGGGACAGTTTGTGTGTTAAATACAGCACTGATGTCATCCTTTGTAATTCTAGATGGATTCAAGAAACTGCCAGGAGCAGCTCCAGAAACAACAGCCTGAGTGCTAGACCTAACCCAGACTGGTGTTTCGTGGTCAATAAAAACTTGGAGCTCTGTAGCTCCATATTTTTTTTGAAAAGTAAATTAAGAATTATGATATGGACTGTAGCTGCTAAATAACTGATAAAGCCTGCATGATAAAATGCATATGTATGAAAATTAGTTTTCGTTGGTATTTCTTTGATTAGGAACAGGACACTCTGACTTCTCAGGGCACGCTGAGGAACGTCTTTCTAGTTTTCTGACTTTCACTTTACATGATTTCTGTTCAGTGTATATTTTCAACCTGTTGCACAGATGATGCTCCCTGGTCCCAGAAAACTTAATCACTGAGTAGATATTTATTCAATGATTGAGTGTAAATGAAAGCCACTCTAGATGCATGAAGAGCTCCTCTTAAGTAACCTTATCCTTTACTTCCCCAGAGTTAAACTGAGAAAACAAATAAATGACAAATAAAATTCACTCTCTGGTAAAGTTCCCATCATCTTTACCAGAAATGGTGGGAACTTTAATCTTCCAGAGTGGTTTAACTTTAGTGGTTTAACTAAAGTCTTTTAGTGGTTTAACACCAACAGAACTCTGGTTATTTTATACAATTTTGTAACTGCATAGGAATTTTTCCCGTAGCTAACCCTTTCAAAACTAGGACCAAATTATAATAATTTGGGTCATAATATACAAATCCTATGATTGTTGTCCTTATTGTTTTCTAAAAATTGTTAATGTATTTTTCCACTACCATGTAGTCCCCTTATACCCATCTCCTCACTGCACTTACCACACACTCTTGTCCATGTCCATGACTCCTTTTTCCTTTTTGCTCAATCCCTCCAGCTCCTAACCCACCAAGAGCCATTAGCCTTCTCTCCATGAGTCTGTCTTTATTATGCTAGTTAGTTCAGTTTGTTCATTAGATTCCACATATAAGTGAAATAATACGGTATTTGTTTTTTTCCAGCTGGCTTATTTCACTTAGTATAATGTTCTTTAGGTCTACACATACTGTCACAAAGGGTAAATTTTTTTAAAAAATATTTTATTTATTTATTTTTCGAGAGAGGGGAAGGGAAGGAGAAAGAGTAGGAGAGAAATATCAATGTATGGTTGCCTCTCATGTGTCCCCTGCTGGGAACTGGCCTGCAACCCAGGCATGTGCCCTGACTGGGAATCGAACCGCGATACTCTGGTTCACAGGCCCGCGCCCAATCCACTGAGCTACGCCAGCCAGGGCACAAAGGGTAAATTTTTCTTCTTGTTTATGGCTGAGTAGTATTCTACTGTGTATATGTCTCATAGTTGTTCAATTCACTCATCTACTGGTGGACACTTGGGCTTGTTCCACATCTTGGAGACTGTAAATAATGCTGCAATGAACATAGGGGTGCTTATGTTCTTTTGAATGAATGTTTTGGGTTTCTTTGGACATATTCCCAGAAGTATAATCACTGGATCAAAAGGCAGATCCATTTTTAATTTTTTGAGATATCTCCATACTGTTTTCTACAGTGACTGCACCAGTCCGCATTCCCACCAATGTGAAATGGGTCCCTTTTCTCCACATCCTGGCCAGCACTTGTTGTTTGTTAATTTATTGATGGTCAATTCATCAGATTCTTTCATTTTACAGGCCCAACAGCTTACTGATTTGGAACAAAAATTAGCTGTGGCAAGAAACACACTGGAGAAAGCAGCTCTTGACCGGGTGAGTTGATGTGCGTAAACCATCACAACTTTGGTTTTAGCAGATGAAGCTGGAGTGTGTTCATCACTCCTCTCAATTTTAATTTGTTTTATCTTCTCATAGTTGTATAGACATAGATAGTCTTTAATTCACACACACGCATATGTATATTATATGCATTATCCGTGTTATATAATATATGCATTGTTTGTGTACATTAGATATGTATAATGCATATATAGGCATATAACACAAATAAGTATGTGCATATATTTTCATATGCAATCTATTTTATAAAATACTAATTATATATAACAAATGTATGTTATACAATAAAAATTTTGCTTTTTAACTTTAAATTCAGATCAGCATTTTTCTGACATGTTATATTTTATGTTGTTTTCTATATACCCCTATGTTTTCCAAAATAAGTTATTTTTTAAAGAGTGGAAAGTGTTTTGTCTGCTCTCAAGAGCTTTCCATTTTTCTGAGCACAGCATAGCAACAATTTCATTTAGAAAAATAAGCAAGTAAGGTGATTGCATTCATAGGTTTATATTGCAATAATGTGCTGTATATGCTTAGCCATTTTTGTAAAGAGAGGAGATTGCCACCTAACCACCAATTTGAACATGAGTGTTTTGGTGAGAATAGAGGAGGTGCAGGTGCAACACGGCTGAGTCATTTTAAAGCTCTAGTGGTATTATCTTCTCATTTCCAGGGGACTCGGGTTTCACAGTGGCAATTTTTTTCACTTACCTATGACCAACACCTTTCCATAGCTGATATAGATAACTTTTCAAACTGGGTATCTGGATAGTGTCGTAGTACTGGGATTAGTAAGGACATTTGTTAAATTCAAATGGTTTCTCTTCTTAGGGTTTTGCTCTTTTGGACAAATGTGGCTTTTGAATGAATAATTATATATTTTAACAACTTCATTCCTTTGCAATTTTCATATTTTAAATTCATTTATCCAGGTAATTAATATTATATTTAATATTTGGGGGGAAGCCCAACTTCTATTCTATGAATGAGGTCAAATATAATTTATTTTACCAAGGTTCCAAATTTATAGTTTTTTAATTCATGAAAAAATAAGGTTATAGGAGTTTATGCTAATCTCTGACCATATCCAATTCATGCTACATAATATTACTTTTTAAAAAGGGAAATGACTCTTCATTGGTGAAATCAGAAAATCAGAGGAACATCTAATCCTAAAAATTGAACTAGACAACCTTTTTTACAACAATTCTTTCTCTGGCACGATCCCTGGGACGTGCCTGAGGTCTGAAATGCATGCTGACTTCCCCAGGCCCTGCAGCAGCTCAGCCTCCTCTGAGCTTTCAATATCTCCTACTGTTGGAATGATTTTTCTTACATTAATTCTTTTCCTTGATTTGACTTCAGGTAATCCATTTAGCCAATCCATGCCAAACAGGTTTAAATGCCTTTTGTGTGACCTCCATGGTGTTAAGTAATGGGAAACAGAAAACTTACAATTCCTGGTCTTGAGTTCCACATCTCTCCCTACTACACATTTAGTTAGGCATCAGTAATTAGTAAACAATTGCATGCAGAACTGTGAGGTCATAACAGCACCAAAACTAAATGTGTATATTTTAAGTACACCTGGGTTATATGGACTGGTGTGTTCACATAATACTTCATAAGAAAATTAGAATTTGGCCCAAGTTACAGAGTTCAGGCTTAATGTAGAGTTTGTTCCTCCTTCCTCTTACTCGTTCTACTCTGTCCTCCTCCCCATTTCCACTGGCCCCCGCCACCAGCACCCTGTGCCGACTCCACCCCACACCGCAGTCTGCATTCAGGATGAGAGGCTGTATACTGCGGGGTTTAAGTTCAGGTCTCCTGTGACAGCCTGTGTTCATACCATAATTTCTCCATTGAATGGCCATGTTTGATTCTCTCATACTCTTTATGCTTCACTGTGACATCAAATAATAATAAAACTTACTTTATGAGGGTGATGAGAAAATTATATGCCTCAAAAAAGCAACATGCAGAGAAGAATTTATGGCACCTAGAAAACACTCAGTAAGCACAGTAATTGCTGTGAGTGAAGAAACCAGGGATACCGCCTCCCTATGATAACAATTTCTCTTTTAACCTTCAGCCTCTTGTCACTCCTTTTGCTGCAGTGAACTGTAAAAGCCTTCCCTACTACTGGAGGTTAATTTCAACAAATTTTATGTAGGATACATGCGAGGCTCATAAACTGCAGTTATAGAGTCAGATAGAAATGCTAGTTCACTTCAAAATGAATAAAAACTTCAGTTTCGAGAAATTGCTCTTCACCTCTCTCTATCATCTTGGTATCTCTATGTGAGAATTTTTTACTCTCTTAAGGTATTCAGCTCCTAAGGATGTTTTATCTGGACTTCAAATAACCTTCAATGCCTCATAAAGATCATGAAAACAAATTTCACACTCCAACTTAGTTCTCATAACATATTTAATGAAAGAAGTCTCAGTTTACTATCCCTGTATAAATAATAATAACCTCAAAATCTAAGAGTCAACCTTGGGTTTTCAATCAATTATTTATTTGGCAATATCTTAGGAATCATAGCCTCAGATACTGGAATGCAAAAACAACTTTATGGGTAGGAAAGTTGTCTCTCAAACTTTCATATTAACAAAAAAGTTTCCATTATGTGTAGGCATCACAAAATTTCTCCCAGGAAAGTGTGTGTAATTCCATCCATGTTCCAGATGACCCCAGTCAGGTGACCCACAGATTCCTGGGACTAGTGAGTAAGAGAACAAGCACCTGTTTTGCCACAATGTGTCAGCACATAACAGAGCATGATAAATAGTTATTGAGCATACAGATGGATGGGTATCTAACTTTATAAATTAAAAAGCATTCTGCTTATGCATTCAGGATTCATAGAGTTGACTTCATGGCAGAAAGAAAGTTAAAGGGAAAGGCTTTGGATTCACAGGCCCTCGCACTCTTTCCAAAGCCAGCTGCTGATACGACACCCAAATCTCTCTGAGGACTTTACACTCCATGTAAATGAATTAAGATAGGCATGAATAATATTGTGTGAATTTTTACTTTTTAGGAGATGAGAGAGTTGTCTTTGCAAGTATATTTAACTGTTTCTAGCAAAAAATGCATTATTTTTCTGGGAAAAGTACTCATATAGACATACAAAAAATTGCCTTTTAAATTTTCCATCATCTTAAGATCACATATGTATACATAATAATTTCCAATAAGCTTTACATATTATATAGCATAAGCACTCATATTTTAATGTCTGAAATTATACTTATATTGATAATATACATGGTCAAGTATAAATTATTTCATTATTTTCGCATGTAACATCATACTTGCTTATATCCTCTGGAAAGTTCACTTGATTTATTCATGTAACAAACATCTGTTAAGTTAGAAACTGGTGACACTGAATAATGGTACAGGTCCTCAAAAATTATATTAGAATAGAAGTAGGAAAACAATAAACATAGAAACAATAAGATCACTTGCAATGGTAACCAGGGCTACATAGGACATCATTTAAGGACTGTGAGAGATTTTAATAAGGAGTGTTCCTTGAAAGGGTGATCAGGGACTGTGTTTCCAAGAAGATAATGTGTACGTAGAGACATAAATTTTAAACTGGAAGTTCCCTACATAGTTATTTGGAAAAAGGGTTCTGTAAGCAGAAGAAACAGCAAGTATAAATGCTGTAAGATGCAAATGAGCTTTGAATGTTTGATGCCCTATAAATGAAGGACTGTGACAAGTGGGTCCTTATTAAGGAGTTGCAATTTACTCACATGTGGAAAAAGGAATGGGCATGGGGACAGGACTGAATTTAGGAAGGAATAGGTTATAAGATCCACAGCAAAGTACACATCACTCGATTCACATCACGTTTTTAGTTGACATTTTGTTCAAGTGAACTTCCAAGTGGAGAGTAGCTTGCAGTTTCAAAATAGGCCACAGCTAGCAGTGTGAATGAAAATGTTATAATGTGTAAAATCCTTGTCTGGGTCCTGCTTATGAAACGGGGTCAAGCCAAACCTGAGGCATGTCGGTGGCAACAGGCTCTGCTAACTAGACTAAATGGAAAGCTGCTTTTTAATGTATTTTTAACAGAATGCTGACCAGATTAGGGCAGGGTTACTCAAAGCAATCTGCTGTCTCTGAGGAGGAAAAAAAAATCTATGCTGGAATCAAGGACTGGAACCTGGAACCTGACTCTAAGATCTAAGATAAAGGCCAAAGTCACCAGCTTATGTCTCAAAAATGGAATAAAACATGAAGCTAAGAGGGTAAGAGTAGGTTGAAACATGGAAAGAGAGCTTTACCACTGTGGCTATGAACTGAAGAGTTGGAGGTTCCATCCACGTGCTGTTGCCTCTATGACCTGAGATGACCCAGGCATGACAGGAGTGGACACGGATGAGGTGACTGCATCAACGTTCAGACAGTTAAAAGTGTGGCATGTGTACCCATCCCCATTTATTATTGCATTATTGGAAAATCTCTCTTGTGTAAACAATGTTTATTGAAAATTGATGTTTAAAAACAATTAAGTGGATGCTTGTTATTTATTTTCAGCATCCAATTTCAGCCACTACTCTGGAATTTGTCTATTATGGGAACATATAACTCAAGTTTGTTACAGATCCAATGATGAGATGCAGAGAGTGCTAAGAGGAACCTGGATATAAACACAGTAAATGCAATAATCATCATCACTTTCTGCACGATCCAAGCAATGAATATCTACATTTTAAAGCCTTTGAGTCCCCTCCAAGGCGTGTCTGACCCTGTCATATTAGCTCTGTTTCCATTGCTTCATTATAATATACAACACAGAGCACATATTTAAATTGTTCAGTGTCACCTGGCATATCTCACTTCTGACACAGTGCCCAGTGTCCTGACTGATCTCCCGTTCAGCTGAGCACCTTCTGTCCACTCAATGATGCCTCTCCATCCTAGTTCTTGTCAGACTCTCATTTTGTCTCAGACAATGTCATAGGGCAAGATTAATGAGAAGAAAATGCATGTTTGTCTATGTATTACTGCTGCTTATTAAAAAACCTCTTGCCGTGTCCAAAGAGAGAGATTTTTTAAACTGTTATTCTAGCAATGGACACTCACATACAACCAAAAGATAACTATTATTATATGCCACATATGAACAGAAAGCACAGAGGTAGAGACTGGGAAGAATTTAAATCACAGTCATTACTCTCAAGAGATCGATCATCAGGACTTTATGGGAATCAAGAATAGGAGAAGACACTATATGAAGCTGTGTTTCTGGCAGAGTATACAAGAAACAGTAGTTTTGTTGGGTGTACAGGATTTTGACAGGCAGCGAAAACAGACTATGCTGCTTCATTGATCTATGAATGCACCAAAATGGTAAACCACACGTGTGTCAGCTTGTTGCAGAATCGTGGCCTCAGTAACTAGTCTCTCTCCTCATCCCTTTTGGCCAAATGGCCTTATCTCACGTCTTGAACTCACTGTTTATGTGACATTGTCTTAGTAGGGCCTGTGACCACGCCCCAAATTACCCTTAAGCTGTGATGAGATTTCTTAAGGATTGTATGTCTCTCTTCATTTTGACACCCCAGGGTCTCTCTTTTGTTTGTACTCAGGTTGACATTATTATTAATTTTCAACTTATCAGCATGTAAAAATATTTTTAGAAGTGGTGCCTGAGACTTAGATGGGACCTGAGGAGTAGATTTGGTTGTCCACCTAAGCTCAGCCTGTCTAGTGATATAAATCAAAAGTAAATCAGTCTGAAAACTTTAAGCTTTCATTTCTTCACAGTGAAATCATAATAACAGTTCCAGTTTTACAGATGTTTGATTGCATAAAACTATTTCTTTCATGGGACAGTGCTTGAAATATTGTAATATCCTATGCTAATATGTGAAAGTATTAATATTATCATTTATAGTCAAAGTAAATTAACTCCTACTTCTTAACAAGGCCCAGAGGAAATAAGAGTTTTATCAGAAACAAGTGTATTTTTCCCAATATGTGGTGAAATTGAGTTGCTAATAGAGGCTAATCTGAGGACGACAGGGGCCTGCACTGCCAAGGGAGGGATTTGTAAAGGAAGCTGATACTATGAGAAAAAATGGCAGGTTTCTAAGAAGGACATTTTCTGCTTTAGAATGACACCAGAGTATTTTCTTTTGGTAAATATAGTCAGCAAACTATCATTATTGAAATCATACCAATTTGAGGGAAAAAAGTAAGACATGTCTCTGAGTTTCATTGCTCAAAATATAAAACATGAGCCCTGGCTGGTGTAGCTCAATGGATTGAGCATGGGCCTGCAAACCAGAGTATCACAATTTGATTCCCAGTCAGGGCACATGCCTGGGTTGCAGGCTAGTTCCTGGCAGGGGACGCACAAGAGGCAACTATACATTGATATTTATCTCCCTCTCTCCTTCCCTTCTAAAGATAAATAAATAAGTAAATAAAATCTAAAAAATAAAACATGTTAACTCCTAAAAACTAACCAAGTGTGCATTAAACAGGTTATCAAAATGGAATTTATAAGTTTGGCAGTTGTGTTTGAAAACTGATATGTGTTTGTGTGGGAAGCGAGTATGATTAGGATAAAAAGGAGAATCGAATCAGATCACTGATAACCAGAACTACATGCATAAATCATGATCGCTCCCTATTTTTTAGGAGTCACAGCTGAAAGCAATGAAACAGACGGTACAACTCTGCCTGTCAACAGTTTTCCGTGATCAGTCACCACCTTTGAGTCTCATCAGGTCAAATCCAGCTCAGATGTCAACTCCACCCAGTACAATTGATACCAAGATGGTGGATGCAAGGACAAAAAGCAAGGTATGCTTTATTCATGCTTTGAAAAGTAAGATCAAATAATGTACTGTCTTTATAGTTAATTTTATGTGATTATGATTGTGGATTCAAGTAAAATATAACAGTGATTAGAGAACTGGTTGACAGTGACCAGAGGGGAGAGGGGAGGGAATTTTAGGGGAACAGGGGAAGGATTTACAGGAACTAGTATAAAAGACACATGGACAACAACTAAGGGGGGTGGAAATGGGAGGGAGGTGGGGGGCAATGGGGAGGTGGGCTGGGATGGGAGTAAAAGACAGAAAACTGTACTTGAACAACAATAAAATAAATAATTTTTTTAAAAATTAGGAAGAAAATGGAAGGTAGTAACTCAATTTGTAGTCTCCAAAATCACAGGAAGAACATTCTTTAGTAGATAGAAGCCAACTTATTCTTAAGTAGGATGATCTAATTATAAAATAATAATAACAAGTATCATTACTATAACAATTATTTTTTCAAAAATAACATTCTAAAATAATAATAATCATTTTACATTTAATTAAGAAAAATATATTATATTCCAATATACAATGGAAGTTTGATATGGGAAATATTTTCTCCTAGTGTATAACTATCAACCTTATAAAGGCAGATACATTTTTTAAAGGAATTAAGTCCATAGTTCTCAACACTGACTGAATGTTAGACTCATTTGGGATACTTGTTAAAAAATCATGACCTTGGGACTCATCCTAGACCTATTAAATCAAATTATTTGTGGTAGGACTCGAGTCATTAGTATTTTTTAAAAGCAGCTTCCCAGATTTTTGAGACCAACTGACAATCAAATCTTCCTTTAAATCCCCACCCTCCTACCTCAGATAGGGCACAGGGTATTTCTGCTTTAGTTTCAATTGTCTTAACCTGCAATTTGCAGGCTGTGCATTTAAATAAATCCTGACAATCTGAAATAGTTTTTAGAGAAAAGAGTTTTGTTTCAAACAGTATATATTTATTTGCAAGTGCAGGTCTCTCTTATCACTTGCCTTAGGATCTCTCCCTGTTAAAATGTGTGTTATAGATGCCAGATCCATTTACAATGCAAATCTCTCAGGCTGGGTCCAGGAACACTGAGGACCAGCTTTGCAGTTACCCACTGGTGCATACATCTGGGGCCTATTTCTTCCTGCTCATTTCTGTGACCCCCCCAGTTTTAGATTAAAGGGGAGATGGACAGACTGTAGATTAGGGAAATACTCTTTTCAGGATGGAAACTCAAAAACAAGTGAAATGAAATACATACTGTAATGTACAGTTATTATCTGTAACTTTGTCTATTTCTGGGCTGCATAAATTAGTCTGTATAATCTCAAATTTCTCTATCAAAATCATTTACAAGTATATATATTTCCATCTCATCCTATTATTCTCTTTGGCTGTATTATGTACTGAAGTATGTCAAAATATTTAGAACTTTATTTTTCTACTTTATTTTCTTCTGCCCCTTCTTTGAAAACTCTAGGTCTGAAGGGCTTATTTACTTAACGAAATCCAGGGAAAAGTGGCATCATGATGTATTTTTTTAAATCCTGGGTAAATTTATTGAATCTGGTCACTGGTTAAATACACAGTCAACCGCATGATCTCACTCACCTACCAGGAAACCATTACTGCCTCCACTTAGTGCAAGGGGGGAAAGCGAAGCTCAGCCTTAAGTCTAATGACTCTGGGCAAAGCTGATTTGTAATCTTATAGGCCCATCACACTTGTCTCCAACCCAAATGCGTGTATTTAAGCTCCTTATTACAACTACGGTCTTGACATACCTCAATGTGTGGAGAAAATCCCTGATTGGTATTTTAACTGATTTACCATCAATAAATGTATAACTTGTCATTGAAATAGAAACTAAATATTTATTATTTCTCTTGGATTATCACAGAAAAAGATAGGAAGCCTTTAGATGAGGCTGGTTTGGTAATTTCTCATTTTTCAAAAAATAATAACAGAAAATCCAGTCGTTTAAGATAAAGTTCAATAAATCAAAGCTGATGCACTGTCCAGCATTTCATTTCCCAGATTAGCATTTAAAGCTTCTCTGGTGTTTACACTGGCCCATATTTTTTATCTTTTCAATAGTGGTAGAAATTATATATTTTATATATACTTTTGGCTTATCTCTATGTAGGCACATCTCAGATAATTTCAAAATCCTGAATAATAGAATGCAATATGAGGTGTGTGTAAACTCTTTAGTCATGGAGTGTTTTTTCTCCATACAGTAAAAGTAACTTTTACAATAGGATGTTCAACTGCTGTGCCTTCAGATTTGGCTAACTATGAAGACAGTGATATATTGTGCCCATCTGAGAGAGAGCTGTGAGGGAATCACATCACTTACCCTCTCTTTGTGCCTCAGTTTCCTCAGTGCTTCTCTGAGAGTGTTGTTATGACATCAACATTAAAAAATTACTCTTGTCTACAGCGAAACCGAGCTAAAGGCCCTGATCTCGTCTAATCTTGGAAAAAAGAATTATTATGTTTCATAATATATGGCTGGTCTTACCTCTTTTTATTTGGTTTTTCAACCTTCAATTTTCTTTGAAAAAAGAAGGGTATTTGTTTATTCCTAAAATCTGTGACATGTATTCAAGCAACCAAATTTCAACCCATTCTGGAAAAAAGGCAAAAGAGCCTCCCCCTAAGATCTTCTTTTATTTTTATTTTTTTCTTTCAGAAGGTTGGGTAATGCAGTCAAGATTTTATTGAGTCATGCTCAAGTGTGCATATGTATGTGTGTATAAGCATCCATATATGCACACATGTACATACACACAAATATTTTATATGACATTCACTGTGGCTTTTAAAAGACACAGACTTCATGACATGGGGAGTTCATTATTATACATGTTGGTGAAAACTTAAAAAAATTTATATGTTAATAACCATGACTTAAAAAAAATTCTGGTACAGACTTGCTACATGCCCACTTAACCCCATAGCTGCTGCTGAGAACTCTCAGTCTGGCCCATCAGCCTCCTTTCCTTCATTGTATTGTCTGTAGTTATGTCTGAGCCTCTCTGATTCAAGTAAATGTTTCTTATCCTCCCAGTTAGAATCGCTTTCCTATTCTCAGTGTTCCTAGCCCGGTATTTATTCCTCATGGCTCTTCGCCATACCTTCAATACAGTGATGGCTCTGTATCCCTCCTTAAGGGAAATGATTCTACTTAGCTCATTGATTTTCTCTACATTAGTGTTCAGAGCAATATGTCTAGAGGATTCATTTGAAATGGCACTTGTATTTCTGTTTTAGTCAGCGTGGGCTACTATAACAAATACCATAGACAAGAATACTTAACAGACACTCATTTCTCATAGGTTGCAAAGCCTGACCAAGATCCAGGTGCTGGCAGATATGGTGTTTGATGAGGGCACTCTTCCCGAAGAGTAGACAGCCAGCTGTTCTCTAGCTGTGTGTTTACATGGTCTTTTTATGCACACATGCATGGAGACCTCTCTGGTTCTTTTATAAGGACACTTCTTCTTCATAAGGACACTAATCCTACTATGAAATCCCCATTATCAGGACTTAACTCTAAGCCTAGTTATTTCCAGAAGGTTCCGTTTTCTAATACCATCCCATTGGATAACCCCATAGGGCTTCAGCCTGTGCATTTTGGAGGACACATTCAATTCTCAGCTATGTCCCTTACCTTCCTGGACATTTTCCTTATTTAGGAGTTAAAAAAATCTTATTGTTGAGTGTTAATTAAGTACTTAGTACTCAAATAAATCATTTTTTCCATTTGTATTCCAGATCTGTGCTCATCACCAGGGATGTAAATTTAAAATGACACAACCCTGGCTTTTTTGGAATTGCTACCCAATTCTCAGTAAAGAGAGAACAAGAAAAAAATGCAAGGGGTGTGTTGTAAATGAGGACTTTTAAAAAACTGTATTTGGGATTCTTTATTCCAGATAGCTTTGTCTAAATATAAAAACTAAGGAGATGGTTGGAGCCGAATGCACACAAGCTGAAATCTTTCTTACATCTTGATAATGAGATGATACATTAATTATATACAACATACTGTTCCCACAGAGAGGTAAAGAGCAAACGCATGAACCAGGAGCTCTGATTTGCTTTTTGCATAAAATGACTAATGAGGGTAGAAACAAGCAAACCAGTGATGATCAATTTCCATGACCCATGACAGAGATGAAAGCAGCCTGATTTGTGATGTAGAAAAGGGAATGGGGGCCCAGATGCAACTGAGGAATAGAGCTGCAATGACCTAGTGATTAAAGGGGAGGAGGCAAGGGAGGGAATAAAGACAACTCTCAGTGCTTACAATCATTCACTATGTGGGAAAGGCAAGAGGGACTTTTAAGGGAGCCCCCAAATTGGTTTGTTTTTCAGCATACTGATGGTTAGCCACTCTTCATAGAATTATGTTTATTTCCAATAGGTATGGAGGAATCCTCACAATAAACTTAATGTCAGTGACCATAAGAGTAAATGTCATAAAGAAAGGAGAAAATAAAAAAGACAGCAGAAATGAGAAACAATTCAGATAAGCAGTGAAGATTAAAAAAAGGTGAAATTATGTTACAAAAACCTATCACTTCATCTCCACCCCTGGCAGTCACCCTCTTCTGTCTTTGTTTTTCTTTCCATGCCCCTCATTGCCCTGGGCTTAGCTGCAGTTTACGTTGATATGGGTCACAACTGCAGTAAGTATTTAATTGGACAATGATGATTTGTTAATTTTTTCCCAGTTTGTTGGAAATGCCAAAGTCATTCAAGGACAGCAGGCAATAGTGGTCCTATTTAGGAGGAAAAGGCATCCAAGTGAAAATTGCATTCTGTTTGGTGCCAGGAGGTTTATGAAGCAAGGTGGATTTGTATTTCTTCTCTTCACAAATCTGTTACAAAGCAATTTCCAAGAATTCTCAGAACAGTGCACCTGGAATCATCATAGACCAGAGAGACTCATCCTAGGCTACTTTTTAACCACTGGGAGCTTCACTTAC